TTCAGTTTGAATCATATAAAGAGCAACGTCTGAAATGGAAGTGTTCCACAGTTATTCTGACCAACTGCAACAAGTGATCTTTTGATATCTTACATAATTTGCTCCTAAACCATTTCATTCATCAAACTTCTTAGGGACCCAACTCAACTTAACAGAATGACGCAGTTTGCAGCCATTCCAAAAAAAGGAATATTCTTTGGTAGTGAGCTATATTCAGTGAACTCCAACACAATAAATGTATACAAGAAACTGATAACTCTTATTGTTCCAGTCCTGTGTGGTATAAATTATTCCAAAATGGTCAAATAAGAGATTATGCACTCAAGTCAAATTCAACAGCCTCTATTGCTTGTTCATCAACTTCGTCATTACCGGTTTGGAAATTAGCATGAAATGTTTTCCTATGATTTACTCAGCTTCTTTGAATGAAAGGCTCAAATTTATTACATTAAAAACAAAAGTGAAAACAGTACATTCAAAATAGGCTCAGCTCTGAAAATTGTACTCCTTGATCTTTTAGGATGTAAAAAACAATAAAACCAAGGTAACATAATTCAAAGCTGGATGTTCAAAGGAGCAGCAGACCATTCTCAGTCAACAACAGGTGTATGACTGCCAAGGCCAGCTCCCACATCAATAGCACAATTTCTATAGGGAGGAAATGTGGGCCTGCGTTGTGTGGACAAAAAATTGTCCTTGCAAAATATCTCCCCATAATAACTATCATTCATTGTGAGCGTTATAGCCAACAGCAACCGTGTCAGTAGGTGTATGTGCTTGCTTGAATATACAGGAACTAGGTTTAGTATCCGGAAATTTAATGAAGCAAACGAAAATATTGGACACACGCTACGATCACATTTCATCCCCTTTAATAGATGTACAAGTTAAATGAATTATCTGGTGATGAAACTCAATTACCAACTTCAACACACTGTCATATAATGATGACCCATGCATGTGTAACACATGCCATCCCTGCACTTTCAGGTGGCAGAAAATAATAAGCTGCCGCTGCTGCTTGGCGTTGCCATGGCTACCTTAGGCAATCTAATTATATGCAGACTGGACTTTGGACCTGCCCCCAGTCCACTTACTGTTCAATGTTGGCTGCATCCATGGAGCATGTCTTGGCGGTCGGCAGCAGCGTTTCCTTATTTATCCTCGGATACCTGTGCGGAGCACACGACAAGGAAATGTGAACGGGGTAGAAAGCACTCAGGCAGAACTGAGTAAATTAAAGCGATAATTGCATCTGGCTATCAATTGCAACAGGTCCATTACAAGCACTACAAAATGTACATGAAAGTGCAGCCTATGCAGAATCTTGTGTGTGGACAAACTACATTGGTCATGGCTCTGAAGTTATTCAAAGCAAATGAAACCCCCAAAATTCAGACTGAAACCATGAGTGATGTTTGAATCTGTAGAAATAATGTGCGATCTTATGTTGTCTTATTTCACGAGATGGAGACTCGATGATTCTAATGAGGATTCCTACCGGTATGGTTCCCACAAATCATAGTCTGGTACTGCAGAATTCCATGTAAGATTTTGAGAGGTTAAGCCAGTTCACTCAGGCTCTTTGTTAATCAGTTGGATGTACTGCTAGCATACTCTCCATGTACTGCTAGCATACTCTCCATAACAAGGAGCACTTTCTTGTGCCATCCTTTAATACAACTGTGAATCTTCAGATGCTGGAGCCTCTTCCAACTTTATTTTATCTTGCATAATTCACTGGATGCTATCAGTTAAAAACTGAATGGGTTTGCTTTAACACTCTGTTGGTTGAGCATACAGTACTGCATTCCCCAGGCTCATAGGTTCAAATTCCACTTATATCAATTTCTAGTTGAAATTAACTCTTCATAATTTCCAATAACCTTTTTTTTTTTGGTAGGCACTATTGTTCTTATCTGATTCTAACCATGGGTTGCATTTCTTTGATTGCAAACCAAAATGAAAGACAACACATGGCATGCTTTGCCCCATTTCAGGATGAGCAACTCACCTCCTCTGCATGAAGGTGAAGATGTCCACCTTACAGGAGCTGTAGCAGTTCAGCACGGCTTTGGTGTCTTCGTGAGTGTTGAAGGAATTCATCAACACCAAGGGAACACTGCTGCCATAGGTCTTGTTCAGATACTTGTTCAGATGAGAAGCAAAAGCGAGTTCAATGGAGGAGTACAACGAAGGAAGAAATATGCCGCTCAAATATCTTGAGCGGTAAATTAACAGCACAGATACGTGTACATATAATCCTAGGATTTTTCTTTTAACAGAGAAAAGTCTCACAACTTTAACTTCACTTTTTTTGTGACAATCTTGGACAGAATCACTCACTACTCTGGCTATGATCTCAAACACAGAGTCGCAACTTGAAATCAGAAGTTGAGGCACTCAACATTTTGTTGCATGTAACTAGCTTAAATTCACAACATTTTGTTGCATATTTATAACTGGTTTAAATTCTTAACTGTTTTGCCTAAGAATATTTATTACTAGTTCAATTAAACTCTTGATCTTACACTAAGTGGATTCCGATGCATCTTATTTTCACAAAACCTATTTATGGTATTTTACCAGTTACGCCTGCCCACTGAACAAAACATTTAAAAAAATAAACAAAATATTGAAGTTACATTTCCTAGACAAACTATTTTCATTCCAGGTCCTTGGATCCTCGCAAATGGACTACTGTTACTGTCTACAAGTGTATTTGTTTAATAGTGTACTTGAAAAGAAATTTTAGTGACAATGCAGGGTTTGCCCTTAACTTTTTTCTCACTTGCCAGCAGGACCAGCAGTGATGGCTTTTTACGAATCTGCCAGCATTTTCACTAGTCCGCGTCTTCCCCTAAATTTCAACATTCTTTTTTGGCATTAGTGTTTTCTGCTCCAACATCATGCATAAGTGTGCCCTCGGTGCTGACTGTTATTTGATAACTGATGAGTACTCATAAATGGTCATGGGAATCAGAGTTTCAAGAATATTCATGAGTATAACTCTACTCCAGCAAATTAAACACACAAAATGGTTACCTGCTGAAAATGGTTTGTTTTATTCACAATCCAAGAGACAGAAAAAAAAATGTCATTATGAACAAATTACATGTATGTACATGTACGTTTTATGCAGTATGCACATGTACACGCACATACATGTATGTACATGTATGTACATGTACATGTACACGTACACCCGGCGAAATGTACATGTACATACAGTACATGTTCATTCTCGACTGTGTCCAGTACCCGTGGGATGCATTCCACCAAATGGTTGTATTTCTGCATGTGAGCTCATTAATATTTGGTGATCCCACGGGGATTTTACAATAAGACATGCCATAATCAGGAAGGTTCATAGAAATATTTCTATAAATTCCAAATTTGGGACTGATAATTTCCAATTCGGGGTATTTCTTTCAAAAGTGGCAGGCGGCTAAATTCAGAGCTGAGCGCATACATGTAGTTTTATTACTATTTGTAGTTTGGAGGTATCTTTGGGGAAAGGCGAATACAAATAATTTTCATGGCTACCTCCCCCTTAAAATTGAAACAAAAAGTGATCTTCTGGCCACAATCCTGAATTTCCAGTGAAAAAACGGAGGTCAACCTCTTTCCAAGAGTCAACAGGCAGCACTATTTTGGTCTGATTTTGCAATGTTTTCGACGGGTGCGTATTTGGTGTAGTGCAACCCGTAGCATGCGAACCAAACACGAAATCACAACCGTGACATTGCTGGTGTCACAACTACCAATGACCAATCAGAAAAATCAGTACTGCATATTCATAGTAACGTAATGCGTATACACACACCAACACACTCGGCACGTCATACGCGTGGGATGCATATTCAGGACTTACACGTACCTCTACGATGCAATGCATGAAAGCACGTGCTGATTTAGATCTTGTACGCAGAACCAATGTCAAGTCATGGGGTTGTCCAGATGTATTGGCCACACGCAGCACGTCATACGTGCAATCGCGGCGCAAAGGCGTTGCAGAACAGAAGTTTCAGACGATTTACTGCCGCTGCATTCATAGACTTCAGCATTACTTCTGCTGGGCTGGTGCCAGGACCAAACTATTCCTGGTTGCAAAAGGTTCTATTTTATTTGGTTCAAAAACCAGCAGTAGCAAGAGGGCACGCATCACAATCAACTATATACTCAGAATATTGTTTACTAGACCGCCGGACTACCCAGACAAGGGCTTTCGCTAGATGACTGCAGTTTTTACTCGGATTTGGCGAGCGAACCAGCGTTAAGGTCGAACCCTGCATATGTAAAAATAACCAAGTACTTTGGACAGCCAGACTGTCTACACAAATCTTCAGCTCACTCCGAGAAAGTGAACCTCACCTCAATTTGCTGGACGGCGAGGTCTAGGAAAGTGAGGTCATTGCGGACACTGATGACGCTCTTGGGACCCTTGCAACCCATGCTGGTGCCAAGCCCCCCGTTTAGCTTGATTACCACCAGTTTGTCCAACAGTTGGCGGACCTCCTCTGGATCGTAATCCTGCAGCTTGTCATAGGACGTTACCTACAGGTAGTGGGGAAAAATAGAGTTGGGGAGCCCAGTGCACCAGGGAACTACAACCATTGATCACTGCACCAACAATCGTTTCATGAAAGCAAGTACTGTAAATAAACAACTCAGCAAAAAAGTTGAAATTTCTTAACTGGTAAAATCTAAGGCAAGACAAAAACAGAATGCCACAACAAATACATTACTAAAGAAATTGTAAGGATATCAATGATAATAAGAAACTAAATGTAACTTCAGATCAATGAAAGTTTAGTTGTGGTCAATGCTAGCAAACATGACCCAATGTACATGTACATTGTGACTGAGACAGTGCAGGTGAAGAACTTTTGAAAGAGGATACTGGTTTATGTGCATTGTTTAACACGATATCTTTACTTGGGGAGAAAGCAATAAAAAGATTTATTCAGAAAAGTATTTTGTTTTCACACATAAATACATGTACACTTGGCACTAAGCTACCGGTAATTTTGGACACAAATGGGCTGCAGCCAAAATCTTACAGCATCATCAGAGAGTGGCTGGATATCTTCCCAGTGAACTGACGGTCCAGTTTCTGCCAAGAAACGACTGAACAGTTCCTTGAAGCCTTCAAACTCCTTTTCAACAATCTGGAAATCATACAAAAGACATTAGGCTTTTCACAGAACAAGCTTTTTTCGTATTCGTGGGCATTTTTGGGAGGTTGGGAATTGTGAGGAATACTCCATAATTTACCCCGTTCAGGCAACATTGGATATCAAGCACCACCACTGGGACCAACCTCCCTCAAACATGCAAGCCAAACCCTCTTGCCTTTCTGAAGGATCTGTGCGAACACAGTTTAACACAAACACACATTTGCTCATATAAAACGCCCAAAGTTATGAATTCTATACGTGTACCATTAGAGGTCTAATAAGTAACAATAGACCCTTAGATAAAATCATCTGATACAAAGTCCAAAAAACAGGCACGAATGTACATGTACATTGTACACGTACAATGTACATGTGGCATGTTCTTCATAAAATGGACCAAACTGCGACTCCGCATGTCACTTTTCAAAACTTCTAACAGACTGACTTTGATTATGTAAAATACAAATTAGCACCTTCAGATTTATAAACATGGTTATTTGGGGATAATTTGGCATACTGTACATATACTGTGTACATTTGGTGGACATTTGGTTGGCTACATTGGTTTTCTAAAGCACCTAAGAAATACCTTTGAAAAAAAATTTTCAGCAGTGTATCACCTGACAGGGAGTAAAAAAACCCACTGACCTCCTTCTGGGTGGAAATTTCCTTGAGTCGGTCCAGTTCCTTCCAGAGAGCTCGCTGGGCATCCTTCCGCCCCTGGGTGTGGAACTCCATCTGGCTATTGCTCCGCCTCATGCCACCCTGGGCAAAGCGAGAGGGGAAAAAGGAGAATTCACTTATCTACAATGTCGGGTTCGAGAACTGAATTTATCACACTTTTCCCCCCAAACACTATAAACACCATCAGGAATAATATAACGTCAATGTCTAACATTGCATTAGTTGGAGCCGGTGGGTTTGTAATCCAACTAATAAAAAACGTAGGCTGAACCACAGAGTGTTCCAACATGTACAGTAGCTCTATGACCTAACTTTTTGTATTCGACTTCATGTACAACTGTAGTGTACATGTATTTTACAGCGTCCCTGCTTTTGTACAGAAAGTATTGGTACATGTACATACACTACATGTAACCTGTACTGTGCATGCCCTTGTACTGTGTTTTTCACAAAGGTACATAGACAATGTTTTCCTAAACTGACTGATTACCGCTTCTTTGAACATGTACATGTTGTAGCAAACGTCTTTTACATTACTAACGTAACCCTCTGGAAATGGAGTTAAGGAAAAGGCCTTCCACTGTTGAGACTTGATTTGAAGATCAGTGACTACCATCAATTCTCCTCCTTAGGAGAAGTCTTTATCACTTTTGTAGAAACTATTTTCAGGAAAGGTAAGGTACACAGAGCAGGGACGTACATGGACATGGACATGTATGTGTACTAATTTCCTTGCTCTTTCAACATGTTCAAACAGAACAATGTTAGAGCACTGTAATAATGTGCCAAAAGACTTATCTGACAAAAAGAAGCCCTACAAATGGAGATATCCGTAAAAATAATTACATGGTTCATATGAGTGCAGGTGTGCAAATAATGGGGAACTTAATTCATGAATACTTAATACATGCATTCGTACTGTACATGCATACATGTGCATGTATGTACATGTACTGTACATGCATGGTGTACATCCAACCTGCAACTGGGATGTACAGTCTGGAATGCAAGTAAACAAATCAGCAATAATGGTGGATGGAAAGTTCAGGGAGCATATGGATATTGTATGGGGTATATCTTAAAATAAAAAGCCAAAGATGTACTGTGTACAATGTACATGTGCTGGTACAGTAGACTAAACAAGATTGATTAACTACATGTATGTGCCCTCGCTGTACATGTACATACCGGAATGTCTATCATTCAGTACCTTAGACAGTTTCCCTATTCAACAACGTGCAATGTCGACGAGTATTAACACTTGATAATGCCCGCTACGATTTGATAATGCCCAATACACTGCTAATACAGTGTTTATTAATATATATACGTTGGGTAAGGGCAAAACCCGTTATATAAATTAACATCTCCCCAACGCAAAAATACATCTTGAAAAGTGATAATGCCCACTGCGTAAAGATGCGCTGGCAGCTGGATACACAACAGTTTAATCCATTCCTACTGTTCAAGAGTCTGTGTGCATTGGGAATGCAAAACTTCCTACGCGTGCCCCAAGTCCATATATCAGGAGATTCTACTTTTTTATACATGTATACCATAAGAAGGATGGGGCCAATCGGGAAAATAAAAGTAACATCTTGAACAAAATCCTTGGAAATTTATCCGACATTGACTTCTTTTTACTCTCCAACTAAAACGGTATTCATGAATAGTAATAAATACTGTACATGCTAGGCCGGAGACTGGCTCATAATGCCCTCACCTGCAGCTGGGACATCAGTCGCATCCATTCTCCTGAGCCAGTCTTAAACACACGTATGAGACCGGCCAAGCACATACAGTGTATTTATTCACTTATAACACAATTGGGACAATTACTGTTAGTCGATCATTATCAATTTCTATGGGGGACTATTTTACTTTACAGTTCATCTTCAATGAAATTTTCATTTTGAGAGAAGCAGAGAAGTAGCCCTTAGAATGGATCACATTATGTACATCCTCCCCCAAAAACCAAAAACATGAAACAAAAAAATGCATTCAGGCTCGCTTACCAAGTATATTCCTGACATTCCATTCATCACTGGCATAATGTAATATTTGTTCACCAAGTTGACGAAACACCCAATGACGAACTGTGTATGTACACCTCACTCCAACACAGTGTGTATCCCAAAGTTCAACTGCAGACAATCTGTTCCACCCTTTCAGGAGGCATCCACTTGACCCCTGATCACAGATGTACATGTACACTGGCCGACTATCATCACCTGCATCTCCGACCAGTGATTTTTTTTTCCCTTCCCACTCAGCCAGCAGTACCCATCAAGGTGGAGCCATCCTTTACTGTTCTCAATCATACCAGCAAGAGAAACAACGCAGGAAGTGCTGATTTTGCAGGGTAGAGAATCTTTCCATCAGTAAAACCAGAGTTGATGGTACCGGTACAGCACGGAGAACAATGCACAGCAAACCTTGGTATCAAAATGGCGAACCCCCCCAAAAACTGAAATAAAAAAACCACCACCTGATCTCTCTTAAAATTCAGCCACCTGTAAAGACGGAATGAGCACTGTCCATATACATGTCGTAGACTACCTGCCAGTCGTTATCAGCTTGCAAACAACAAAGAAACCGCTTCAGAAATGTTGACTCACATGTAAATGTAAATCAAAAAAGAAACATCCTGGTCCAGGATCCAGAGATAAAACAAATTACCAGATGACACGTGTGAACCATGGGGGAGTGTCCAGATGCACGCACAGTACACAGACACAGGTCCCCACACCCATGTGTGTGTGCGCATAATAAAAAAGCCACAGAATGCTTACAACAATCCTACAGAGCTCTGATCACCATGTTCACAAGAGCACGCTATTTCCTGCTAGTACATGTATCATGGAATGAACTGTGAACAATTAACAGGCTTCTTGTTGCTGGGTATAAGAAATGGCCATTTGTTAAAGGTGCTAACTGTACATGTACATATGTGCTTCACGTACAACTGAATCCATCCACATGTACATGTAAGGCTATGCAACACTGCCATCTAGAGGAGGAAACCACAATACAGCAAACAATCTCAGGCACTGTAAAATCCAAACAATTTTCATGCCTTGCATGGTTCATGATTTTCTTTCCCTTATAACCTTTGGATGAAAATAAAATGTTGCAGTCACAATGGCTGGAGTTTCCTGGAAATTGTTGATTTCAACAAAGTGTATTGAGCTGTAAAAATGACGTATAATAATGCCATAAAAATGGCACAGACATCAATATGGGTTCTGTGTGTGTACACTGTTGTGAAGATGAAGCCAAGTGTTCTAGACATCTTGTCTGATCTAGGACTAGGAGGCAATACAACAGTAAACTCATGAATATTTTGCGAAACGGAGCTTTATTCTCACTAACATGCGTGGAATGGACTCTGAAAGACAATTGTGCACTAGCTGAAAACTTCAGAAGTGTCAAACCTTGCACTGATTGTTATATTTATGAGAAAAAAATGTACAATGTATTACCATAGCAAATTCACACTTTTGGGGGTGTGGCAGCCATTTAAACAATTGAAATTCATTTAAAAAAAATTCCCACTGTCGGGGGGGTTTAATGTTTCAGTGAAAAAAAAAATGGTCACAATATACATGTAGTATGGTGGGTGTGCAAGAGGGCCCAATAGCAACAAAATTTCAGTTTTTGTTATTATTTTCAATTGTTGTTTCTTCTTTTAAGGTTTGCGTCACATTTTCATTGATCGTTGTATGAAGCAATTTAAAGTTATTTAATCAAAAGGATATTTCACCAGTCATCTCTAAGGGCGCCCTCTGTTGATACACAAACTTTTAGGTCAACGGTGAAGATTCCTCCTGATTCTGATGATTCACAAGTAATTCTCATGTACCATAATTTGCCCTTTAAACAATGTAAAAATTAACAAGGTTTTAAGGACCTAATTTTTGTTACATGTGGTTCAGCACGATTGGTAAGTTTTATTTAAGGTAGAAACTTATAAATTTAAGGGATTTTGGGTGAATTCAACAGTTTTTTTTGGGTGAAGGGTTTCATGCATTTTCTGATTGCATAACTCAAGACAAGTTGCATATGAAAACATTTATATGCAAGGTGCATGCCTGTATTTATTTTCCATTAGTTAATGATTTATTGGATTTCTTATAATTGTTACTACATGTATGTGAAATGTACACGTATTAATGTTTGTTGTTGCAGTGAACCACCAATTATATCATCACCAATCATCGTCAACAAATGTAACACCAACACCTAATCTTCACGAGGGCCTGCCTGCCTACCACCAACATTATCAGCTGTGTACGTGTATATAACTAAACAGTAACTCCTGTCCCATGCCATATCACGTGACACTTAATTAAATGTATCAAACCATGTGGGTCGTTCATAATGGGACCAATTAAGCTTTTGCGGCAATGGTTTCTGAGGCTACAGTCCTTACTTTTAATATGCCTGCCATGCCCCTAAAAGAGCAAGTTTATGTTGGCTTCACATCCAAAACTCATAAAATAACATCGTAAACAATACCGCCAAATTTCATGCTGTCATAAAAATAGCGCACAATTCCTCACGATAACAGCCCACATATCTGCTGAATTGATCCTTGAATTCTAGACAACACAGATGCCCAATCAATAAGTGCCCTAACAGAAGAATTTCATTGCGGTGTGGACCGCAAAATGAACAATGCACGTGTTTTGAATAAAACAGTCTTGTCTATTTGTGCCAATAAAACAACACAATATTAAACACTGGTAGCGTGTGCCTTCTTATTCACATTGATGAACCACTTCCCGCCAGGGTGCCCAGTTTCGGATAAAAGAGCTGGTCTGTGTAACAAAAGACTGTCCTCGGCACAAAGGACCTGCTGAGGGGAATTTGCCACCATTTTTCGACTTGCATTTTTAAAGGTAATCCGTTGCTTTTTTTGAAACAATACACCACTTTTTCGGGCACAGTGCACCTGCAGATTAGCACCACGGACAAAAGTGCTCCAGGGCCCTATTGGTGAGCAAAACAGCACCACTCCTCACTAATCCAGCCGAGTATGAAAAGACGCTACTGGTATTCACCGGAAGAAAGGAAATTATGTAACACCTCACAATTCTGGGCTCTCTTTAAGAGGGCTGCAGGCCTGGGCTGAATACTCAGGCGTCAATGAAGGTGCCTGTCAGATTAGAGTAGCCACCAGACAGTCGTTCATGAGGGTGTAAATGCCCAGTAAATGAAGATATGAAGTTTTGAAGAATCTTGAAAAGGTCCCGTCATCTCATACCGCTTTAAAAAAATCCATGCAGCAGGAAGTGGTCAATTACAAATAGGGTGCAACCTGTTGTAACAATGACAATGTGTCAATATTTTCAACAAATCTGATTATTTCAAAATATCTTTTGTGCATTACATGTATGATCTGGAAATTGTTATCTTCATACCCATACATGCACATACATTTAAGCCATCTCTCAGGCTTTCAATAATAACTTCCCTTTTTCTTAAATACAGCATTTCGCATGATCAAAATGTCTAAACTACTGCACTGGTGTGAAAACTTTCGAGGATATGAACTGTGGTCAGGCTGTGGTATGGCTTCTGCTACAGACTTTGGCCCCACCTACATCAACAGTACGTACAAGAGAACATATACAATGTATCATGTCCATGTACTGTACATACAATATCTGGTTTGTGTGAGCTCGTACCTGTAGTACATGTACATGTAGCTGAGTGTTTGCCAGTATTAACCTAAAGAGGGCAGCATTCATTCTAAATACATGCACATACAGTACAACACAATTGGAGAGAGATGTATTCGGAGCATTCAAGTTCTTTTCATACTTGGAGCTCCCCATTTTTATTAAAGCTGAATTACATGTAATAATGCTGGAGGAAACAAACTTATGGTCACCTATGGTGGATATTGTGGCGTGGGTGTGGCTAGCTTAACCTTTAAGAGCTCCACACAAGCTCAGCCTCCACTAGTTTGAGCCTCTGTGTGTGTACAAACTCACTGGGAATCACTCAAGCATGGGGATGAGTATAGACGTCATCTGGCACGTTCCCCTGAATGTGTTCAAACACAAGACAGTCGTTACTTGCTTCGTGCCCTCTTGTGTCCACTTGTTACTATGAGTTCAGTTCAGAAATCCTGACTTGACAAATCTGCCAACCGTTTGTACACAGCGATTGGGCTCCTCTACCAAAGGGTAGCAGCCAATCACATTGCCGGATTTTTTTTATGTCGTTCATACCTGCATAATAATGCAGGTTGATCGGTGGGAATTCTGTATACATTACGCAAGATCATGTCGGTCATGTACAATTATGAATAACTTCATATCACCGACGGGGGATTGGCTTATCTGTCAAGTTGGACTTACCGATGTTGACGAGTGCATACCGGCCGAAGGGATGGCTGACTAGGGAAGAGCAATGTACATGTAAGTCCAACTTGATTAAAATCTACAGCCAACAGCTGATCAGGAAATTTTCGTGCAATACAGGGGAAAAAGTTCCGGTTTTCTGTGTTAGATGCACTGTAATATGACTCAAAGGGTTCACCGGTACATGTACCTACATCATGATGTAGGTCTACTTAATTCTGCCTAATTTTTCACCAGTTTACTAAAACAAATTTGGAAATGACAGATTGTGACAAGCATTTATCATGTTTATATAATTCTGAACACAACAGGATAGGCCTTGGCCTAGTTGTTTTGCCGTTCCCCACCCATTCTGGTGGGGCTTTTAAGATCTTTCCACCAGCCCGTCATGCTCCTGCTCACTGGCATCATATGTTCTTCCTCATACTCTACTATAGTACACGTGGTCTTCCTCATGCTCGCATTTAGCCCCACAAATAAGGCTGTAGACTGTAGTGGCTCTCTTTTACAATCTGTCTCTTTTCTGTCACGAAGAGACGTAAAAGAGAGCCAAGCACTACAGCCCTATTTGTGGGGCTAGCTCGCATTAGGCTTAGTTCTACTTCGAGAACTCGAAGTCACAAACTCTGTGATACTCCGCACACACGTAGTTAGCTTAGCTCAGGGCCATCCCGCCCACACCGCCGTCACGGCCGCGCCCATCAGTACAAGCAGGTTCAACTGCACTAGCCAACGTTAACGTGGACGTCACTCATCGACATTGTTGTTTCAATTTCAAACTTTCATGTTCAAATCGCTCTGACCATGGAGGTAGAATCACATGACAATGATTCTACCTCCATGCTCTGACAGTGTCTGAAGTCTCAAATGTCAGATGTGCGGATATCGGATGCTGTGAGCCCAGGCCCAGCCAGGTTGTCATGACTGTGGCCCAAAGACAATTTTAAAGCGTTTGCCAATCAAGTATTTTTAAGACTGTGAAAATAAAAAAGATCCAACAGTTCTTACCTTTTTATTTGCCACAAGTGTTGGTGAATTTTCCGTAGACATTGTTTGTCTGGCTAGACCATATCCATGAACGAGACACTAGGCGCGGGCATCAGGACTGCAGCTTGCTAGCAAGCGCATGTCAACAGTCTAGTCATCATCAATATGCGAAGGTAGGGTACCCAAATGTTTTTAGCTTGTTTTGCGCTGCTGCCCGTAGCTACAGAGATAGGATACTCAACATCGATGGCGTTCGTTTGTACCAGTATGCGCCATTCTGGGTGCAGACCACTAATTCAAGTGAGAATTTTTGACCAGCTCATTAGAGTTAAAAGTGCCCCCCCCCCACAGTATCTTTTGAAAAAGCAGATTGTTTGGCCCCCAAAATGGTGAGATTGTGTAAATCGTTGCCAGGATCAACCCACTGGGTCTTTGAGCTTTCATATGAGAGCAAAAGGGCTAAAAACTACGGTTGAAAAATGGTCCTAAGTGCCTGAGAAAGTTGAGGGTTGCCACTTGAAAAATGGCTGGCAGTGCAATCAGACTTCGGAAAAATCACTTTTTTTTCAAAAAAAATGAAAAGAAATTGAAAGATAAGCGACCAGACAAGAATTTCATTTGTATTTCAGAAATCTCAGGGATGTTGGAGTGCATGCTATTGGGCCCTGAATGGTGCTGATTTTTCACTGTTTTCAATGGGGCTTGAATTAGTGGACTGGACTCAAGTTCATTGCACCATTATCATGGAGATCATGGTGTATGGGCGCAAGCTCGAGCTCAGCCGGGTACGGTCACGAATAATATAGCACATGACGTAACATGATTAAAACAACATACGACGTTGCATGAGCCGATACTGCATTATTTTGTCGTGCACGGCGTTACTAGAGCATGCTTTTTCTCAGATTTAGATGTTCATGTACAGGTACATATAAAAATAGGAAGTATGAAATTGTGGGCTCATGGGGAGTACAAAACGGGCTCAAGTCAGTACAGTCATGGAGCTATAAAAAAGATAGTATCCCACCTGTACTGTATTTACATGTACATGTATGCAATGTACATGTACATGTACACGTACATGACATAATGAGAAAAAGCACGCACGACGGTAGTCGCTCATGCACCGCCATATGTTGTTTAATTCATGTTACGTCATATGTTGTATTATTCATAACCATTCCCGGCTTCGCCTGCGCCCAGATGCAGCACGTGTGCAGTGGGCGTGGTTTCAACTGACGGACGTCACACTTACGAACCGGATTTTTGCCTTCAGGTTCTGCAGCGATTGATTTATCACTATTGGGACTACACGTTCGTTCCTCCATGACGTGACTGAGCTGCACGGAGGGAGATCTGGCAGTCTGATCATAGTCTTGGCCCAAGACGTCAGTGATCGATAGTGGTTTATATTTGTTGAAGAGCACCCCTTGCACAACTAGTTTTTACTGGCGCACAGTCTAATTATGAGTCGTTAGCACTATGCACGGTGTCCGCTCTCAAGCCTAACGCCTTGAAACCAAGACTAACAGTCTGACTGTCGTCATGATGGGTTGACGATCATGTTGAAACTTAAGATCAAGTAATCCTCTCCACTCTGTGTAAAATACCCGAATTAAGATTTTACTGGATCATAAAAATTCCCTTTTTTCCATTTAAATTCACCTCTTTGATATTTCCATTACGCTTTTGGGCTGAATAGTCCCTTGCAAACGAAAGATGTCTGTCCTGTAAAATCAGGTCTGAGATTCTAATGATGATCTGGAGGTCGATGATTTTCCTTGACGATGGACTTCATCACTAATAATATTATGCATGCATACACACAAAATGGCTTCGGCGGCAAGGACGTGGGCGGGGCTAAATATTTAATGTGGGTGGTGTAATGGTCTGACCAGCAGTCTATGCGATCTGGTGATACTTTACTAACAAGTGGGCCAAAATAAAAGATGCTTTGAATTTAACTAGTCTCACCAGACACCCCCATCCCCATGGGAACCTTTCTATTGTCTACTTATTGGTTATCTACGTTGGTTGGGCTATCCCAACTGTCTATAGAGCAAGGGTTTGGGGCTGTTTTTTCGATAATCATATCACTTTCCCCCATAAAAATTCCAACACTGGAGGTGAGGTTTCAGACAATGAGGGCTGAACAGATTTTTATGAATTAGAGATTCCCAAATATTAGGGAACTAAGCCACACAAGACATACAGACATTTATTTACAGGTAGTGAAAACTGAGAGAGGGCACTGCTTCAGTTACTTGAAGAATACTTCCCATCTCATTCAGCAGTAGGAAGGTCACATCCGCCAATTGTAATTTTATTACCTTTCCTTCAGTGTATGTAGTCTTCACTGCACACAAATTCCATGATTACTTAAAGAGAAAACTTCGCCAAAAAAAATTTCAAACACTCAGTTACAACTACATTATGGACTAGATTTTGTGGAGTGACATTTGTTACCGTTAAAACTTTAGCATTTCCTTTTCAAAGTAATAAGAAACAGTACATTTTATTATTAACTTTGGAGATCGTTATTCCAAAACTAGAAAAAGAATATAACTTTTTAGACATGTCTTCATACAATGTGTTTGTTCCTAAGGAGTTAGTAACTCATTCACACATGTTTACTTATCCTCCAAAACACAGGGGGCCCAATTAAAGATCAATGTAACTGCAATATACACAGTATTGTATTTTTCATTAGCCAAACCTACACTGCAAGACTTTAATAAGGCTTTAGACACAAAAGCTGTACTTTCAAATCAGACAGTAGTAAATTTCTACATTCATTCACCCCCCCTCATTTGATAACAGCATTCAAACAAAAAAATTTAGTAAATATGGGTAATTCTCAATGATTTATATCCCTGACTTCGGTCATAAATCCTTTTTGAAACCTGACTGGCAAATCATTGATGGAATTGATGAGAAGATTCTTGTTTTTGAAGAAAATGCGAAGTCCGAGAAACCACTTCCTCTCCTTCAGTTTTTTTTTAAAAATTCAAGTGGGTATCGCTCCTGGCGGAAGCATCCTTCCAAGGTTTAGATATCCACTGTCATTGAGTTTCCAAAGGAAAAGAAGGTGTTTTTCTACAATAAGAGAAGAAAAAATTGAGAAACTGCAAGAAAACCCTCCTACCAAACACAGACTTGCTAGAAGAAGGAATTGGCAATATTTCAGCCATCTGTGGTTTCTGTTGTACCTTTCATTATGCAAACCTTGATGTGCTTTTTTGTGAAACTCCCGCACTGCATTGATTTCAAACACCATCTACATCTACATGTAGTAACCAAGTGACAAACTTTTTCACCATGGATTTTGTGAAGCATTGAAGGCTGTGTTATCATTACCAGCAACTGCTATCACCAGCACAAAACTCACACTTCCTACTTGTTAATTTCTTTGCTCGAATACACTTTTAAGGTGCTTTTCTACGGATCTGTTATCAACGTCCCTTGTGTTCATATGCGTAAGTTGTGGAGATTAACTTTTGGAATTGCACAGGAGAGAAACGCAGCAAATGGCTGCGGATACAGAACGGACACAAAACATATACATCAGGAAAGGTGGCCTCTATGTGACATGGCAAAAATACAGTACCGACAGTTACCATCAGTAATCTACAGAGGACAGAGTAGTCATGTTTCTATGAATTAAAGTTAATGGAGAAACTATCATTGTTAAGGGTTGATCAAAGGGAAGAAAGTCACCAAACTCTTTCAACTTGCTGAGATAGAGACCTTTTCTGAAATCTCCAAATAAAATTCAGGGGAAGACCAAAACAAACATGAAACAATGTTAACAGTATCATTGATGAATTCCTCGAGTGGCAATGGTAGAACAATAAAATGTGCTTAGTACGGGAGAGACATACCGTTACACATTCACTGCCAATGGTGGTCAATATGCAAATAATGTTTCATTCCATGGAAAACAATTTGTGAAGGTTAGGCATACCAATATTTCTCCAAAACAAATCCAGCATCAATCTTTCCTTTCTGCTGGAACCCAGTCTTTATTCAAGCACATTCTGCACTCATTGGTGGATTTTGTTCTCCCCTTTTCTTGATTCAGACCTGCAGAATTTTTTCCAATCAACTAAAGTTAAATTGATTCTATTTAAATACACCGATGATATGAAAAGAAACAACTACACAGAAATGGCAAATCGAAGTTTGAACAATAAAGGGTAAAATTTTGTATTTTTTTTTAGAGGAAAAAAGGATGTCAGACCGGTGGCCAAATTCACAGATACAATTACTAAATGAATTGCTTGACACATCTTTCACCAGACTACTCTCTGTTGTGATGACAAGAAAAGTATATGGAAGTGATAATGAGTTTGAAAAAAAAAAAAAATTTTTTGAATATATGCAGATGTACAAGTAAAAAAAAGTACTTGGGCAACAACACAAAAACGTCCCCATTAATGGCTACAAGTAAAATACACCATGTACAGGCTCACTTTTCTTGATTGTTTGTTTGTTTAAATATCCAAGGGCCAATTTCATAGAGCTGCTTAAGCACAAAATTTACTTAAGTGCAAAAAACTTTGCTTAAAAAAAACAAAGGTTACCAGCTCAAAATCTAAGTGATTGTCATGTTAACCAAACGACAGGTGAATACCATTCCAAAACAATATACATCAAATGGAGTTTGGGCCGTAACCTGATTTGTCAAGCCAAGTTTTTTCATGCTTATACAAATTTTGTGCTTAAGCCCTTCATATAGGGAGCCATCCACAGGGGTGGCTTTGTGTGAGCATTAGTGCATACCACACATACAGTCTATTCACCATGCAGCTGCTTGTTTCAATGTGGGCCTGCTGCTGGACTTAGCTTTGCATACTGGGCATACCACAGCCCAGCAGTCACAGTCAAAAAAATCAGCACGTGAGGGGATTGAGCAGCCCTATGAAATTGGCCCCTGATATTACATTCGATCAACCAGCGGAAGTAGTTTGGGGGATTCACACGTTGAGCAGCCTACAGACAGTCACACACACAAAAATACAACCAAATTAAAAGAGCATATAAGGAGGGTTGAGTGATGCTAGTGGGTGGGTTTATGGATAGTGGCTGTGTTTTGGGGTCATGGCTGTGTTTGGTTTCTTTCTCACAGTTTGGGCTGGGCCAGTCACTGTTCCAAGAAGGACAGAGCGGTCTCTTTCTCCCCCTGCAGCTCCTTGGCAGTTAGGTCCATTTTCTCCCGGGCAAAGTTGCTGATCTCCAAACCCTGGACGATGGACCATTCCTTGCCACTGATCTTGACCGGGAAGCTGTAGACAAGACCCTCAGGCACACCGTAGGAACCATCACTGACCACACCCATGGACACCCACTCATCCTGTATTAATGAAACAATAAAAACAAACAAACAAACAAACAAACAAACAAACCTCCAATAAAGCAAAACTTTGAAAGAAATTTTAATTGGGCACTCTTAAGAACCAGGAAGACAGCGAGGATGAGGTAATGGATGCATTGGGGAGGGGCTAAAATCCCTCTTCATTTTCTTCTGAGACACAGAGACAGAGTTCTGAAATCAATAGGCCTTTAATTAAAGACACCAAAAACCAAGACTGAGGTTGATATGTCCAGTCTTTCTCAGCTGTAGTGTAAAACCAATTTTTTGCTGTTTTAACCATAAGTACCTCAAGACAAGGCAGACATGGTATGCCCCTTGGCTTTGCCAGTGTGGCACAAAAAGTCACACAGGTTTGTTTTGGGGGATTGTCAACCTAGAGCCCCATTCAGTGAGTGTGAAATGTGTTGACTTACCGGGTTGGTGCCAAACCACCAGTCACGCATGTGGTCCCCAATAGCCTTAGCTGCAGACATGGCACTGGACAGCTTCCTAGCTGCAATAACGGCAGCGCCACGTTTCTGAATGGTCTGTGACAGTGATGAAAAGCTTCAGTAAGGCTCAGAGTCAATCTCACAAAACAACAGCTGTCCACCAAAACAATTTTGAGAGCTACTGAAGTCTTTAACCCTAACCCTCCTCAATCCTTCACCTGTTGGAGGATTGAGGAGGGTTAGGGTTAATGACCTCTATGTCAACCATGTTGAGCCGACTGCTCTTTCTGCATGTATTTTTCCTATAGAATTTGTTTCTTTAACGCTCCTAGATGTAGATCCTTCAAAATCTTCCAGACAAATCCAACAAAAACTTATTTATTTCTCACAAATCTGCATACTGAAATCACATCCCAAGACATTAAAACAACAAAACAGATACAAAGGAAGAGCTTACAGTAATGAAGTCTCCTTGAAGCCAAGCATCGTCCTTGACAGCCCCATAGACTGGTCCTGCCTGACCACTATTGTCGAGGACTGTTGCGTGCTTAACGTCTGGAAACTGCGTTGCAGAGTGGTTGCCCCAGATGATGACGTTGCGTACCTTGTCGCAGGCAACGCCTAACCTGTTGGCAACCTGCAGGGACACACGTGACAAAACCTCTGAGATTAGCAGAGACAGCAGAAAGTCATTAAGGGGATAAGAATCTGAAAGTTACTCCCTTAGCTTGAAAAGTACAAGTCTATCCCCGGTCTAGATTAACTTAACCGAGACGTCTACCCGATTAAGTGGTTTTCAATAGAAAATTTCCAGAAGTTTACCCAGCTTCCCTTTCAAAGTACTCTTTCAGGTAAAGAAACTCCAGTAAACTTAAAATCCCTTTGAAAAAAATCTTTATCCTCAAATTGTCACTACACACTATCTCAAACTGTCAGGGCAGCTCTAGTGTTATGTTAGAAACTACCTGCAGAAAGCAGCAATATAGGGATCATTAGGAGAAAATATCGTCATCGTGTTCAGAAAGGGACGAGCTTGTGGATTTTGAAGAGCAAACATCTTATGTATGATGGCAAGAAAAGTTTCTCCCATTTTAAAACTGGAAAAACTACCACTTTATGTTTTTCCAAAGTGAAAGGGCGCACGTTTACACAAGCTCAGCAGTGCATGTAACAAAGTTTCGTGTCTCTTCGTGAAAACACAAAATTGTACTTTTGGAGGTGCCTGTCTCTGCCAACATTGGCCCTCCTTTGGTTTTACAGCACAAATATGCACAAGTGCCCACAGTCACTCTCTTGCATGTGTTTTCTATATGGAACACAAACATGCATAGGTTCAGTGTGTACACAGTAGGTTGCCAGCACAAAATTACCCAGGGTCTTTTGTGCAGTCCTCTTCACAGCATTTGGTTTACTGCACAGTTATGCACATGAAAC